CGAGTATTTACGAACGTCTAATCTACTTCTTGATTTGTCCATGCAAAATGAATGCCCTCGAGTTCTTTTGTCTTGTTTAATTAATAGAAGCCCTGTTGATCCTGATGTATCATATATGTCTGACAATATTTTAAATACTTTGATCCTGTCTCCCTTGTTCCTTCTATGGACTAATGATGGAAGTTTAAGTCTATGCATTCTTTCCTCGTATGAAATATCCTTCATCCCTGGCAGTAATTTGGTAGCTCTCTACTGAACGTTTTCCAAAAGGTTGATATCCTGTTGTTTGTATGGTTTCCAAACGCATGCTCCATATTCCAAGTGTGGTCGTACTAAAACTTTGTATAACAGGCAGAATGTTTTGTCGTCCAAAAATGTGTAAGTTCTTCTGATGGCTCCAAGTACTCTATTCGCTTTGTTCATTGCGGTTTGTATATGGCTTTTGAAATTTAACTTATTGTCTATAATTATTCCTAGGTCTTTCTCTTCAACTTCCTCCTTCAGCTTTACCTTGCTCCTCATACCGTCCATATACTTGTAAAGGTGTAGACCATTTGGATTTTTATCCTTTCCCAAATATAGTGATATTATATTTAACCCCTTCAAAATCCTACAAAATTTCGTCGATGTACGTCATTTTAACTGGTTATCCATTGTTTACTTTGAGGTCATCGTGTACTCTTAAAATATTCCTGAAAACAAAACTATTCGGTGGAAATGCTGATAAATATCTATTTTGTTATACTGTCAAAGGAAAATGCTCAAATTCAATTTTAAAATATTATTCGAATCATTTTCTGGCCGTGTACCAATTTCGGTAGCGTGACGTTATGGTCTTCTTATCAGAAATGATTTATCTAATCTAGGAAAAACAGTTTCCGACACTTTGTTACAGTGTTTGGCAGTGGTACGGGGAACCTTAACACAAAGTATAGTCACATTTGCATTTTTGATGACAAAATAATTATGCACAGCTTCAGGCTAATGGAATTGTTTTGCTATCTGAGTCCATATGATGTGTTATATTGTCAGCCAATCTAGAGTAAACAAGTGTCTGGCAGCATTCTTCAGGTGACTGCATACCTGGTGGGCAAAAGTGACCTCCAGTAAGGTGTGTGTATATATATTCTGTGAGAACTGGTAACTAGATACTGTCAACACTGTCCCGTATTTTTCTCACCTGAACTTCGTTCGACCTCCTAATATGATAATCCTTGCAGTATTATAATTGACCTTTATGATATGTACATTTTGTTAAAATAAAAGAATACTTTATTAAAGTAAAATATTTCTAAATCCAAATATGATATTGAACCAAACAATTAAAATGGTTAATGATTAAATGATTCTGAATCTCATCTTTAACAATAAACAAAGGTAAATGCTATCAGTAATAACGACATTGTGTAGCTTTATGGTACTCTCTTTTTAAAAGATTAATAATACTTTATTATACAGATGAAATATTGTAGATTTAAATGCTGATAAATCTTCAAATGCTTCATTTATTTACAAAAGGGTAATTGACAAAAAACGAAAGCTAAATGACGTACCTTGAATCTCATCATTTGCATTAGTTGGTAAACAACTTTTTAATAAATCTCAACAGATACCTCTCTATCAAAAATAGGTGTTTGTAGTTTAATTGTTCGTTTGAAGAACCAGACACATTATTTGTTAACCTATAGTGCATGTCACCATCATTCTCCGCCTTGAGCATAAATCTGATTTTTTTCCCATCAATTTATTTATTCATCCGTTTTAAAAATTCAATTTCAAAAGAGACATTCAAATAAATGAATTTATCATTTTCCAAATCGATCAAATCGATAGAAAAAAAAGAAAACAATTACATGCTTGATAGAGCATCCGTTTCATTTGCAATGCTAAACCATAAGATATTGAAAAGTCTATTTGATCTTAACCGTGAGTAGGATGCTTCAGACTTTAAATTGTTATGCAATATTGATGAGCCTACAACAGGCAATTTCTTTGAGTGCAAATATAGAACTAGTAAGAAGGAATTGGAAAGAGCCTGAGAGCTCTCCCTCCATGTGTTGTAGGGTTGACACTGGAGTGTATCTGTGGTATTGTTAACAGCCTTGTCTGTGGGACACATGTGTGCACTAGGCTGTATAAGATACCGTATTATATCTCTGAAATCCACAGGGCCCTCTGTTTTATATGGTAGATCATGACTTTTGATTATCAATTAATTTTTTAATATTTACGAGTTAAAAAATCGAACTTTAATAAATATTGATTTTTACACAAATTTCACCTGTCACTGTTTGACATTATTTTTTCATATAAGCTTGCAATATTTAGTAGGTTTCTTTTGTTTCCAGGAAATCTCGGCAAGCATAGAAAAATACTGTATGACTTAGGGAGCTATGTAGACTAGTCACACAGTTAATACACAAAAAAACACTCCAGAGAATTCTATGGACATTTTGTTTATCTCATGGGGAACTCTTGGTAAAAATTCCACTTGTCGTAATCAGCTTCAATTCAAATGAAAAACATTTAAGCGAAAAGTAATCTATCATTTTTGAAGCCAGTGACATTTGTGTATTGTATGAATATTTTAACCTGTTAAACAACCTTTGTAACTTGTACAAGTGTTATCCTTCAGTATTTTGAGTGATACCATGTGGAAACTTTAATGAAAAGCTCTAATTTGGAAGAGTATTATACGTCTGTAATAAAAAGTATTGAAACTTGATAATCAAACAAACTACAGCAATTACTATCGATTGTCAGAAACGTTTGAAGCACTGCCGCCTATCAAGATCATCATTCTCACAATCGATACCTTTGAAATTTCTGAACGATTGACAGATGTTCAACCAATAGAACTCAATCGACATTGACACCATGCAATGCCATCAGAATGCAACATCGACAATGCTATTCACAACCCAGAAAATCAGTCTTCCCTTCTCTAACAGGCTGAAAAATGTTAATATCATTAATAACTTAGAATCTATTCGTCATATGGGATCATACTCAATCTTATCTTATCTGACTAACCTGTGTGTGAAATTATTATAGCACTGAGCACAGCAGTCCTTAACTTGTCTATTATGATATTTTTATATTCTGCAATATTTTGACATAACTTTTTTTTTTTTTTTTTAAAACAGCATCAATTTTGCAAAAAACAAACCCATCAACACTAACTATCTCCATGCATGTGACAAATATAGTAATTCTTTAACTCATCTGCACTTGATTTCTAATATAATATTTTTTAGTTCACCCACTCTACATCCAATCTTGTTTATATAAAGTCTGCTTATTACATCTAATATGGTATCCATGTATTGTTATTTCTAAATACCAAGAGGATTATTTTCTACTACATTCATCACGTTGTATATATCTAGGTTAACATCATGTTTATGGCAATGCTTATCCACGAGTCCAGGGTTTCAGGATAACAAGCTTTTGCAGTTGTTGGTGCATTTTACCCAGGACACAACACTAATGCCCAATACAAATTTATATTTTTGCAGAATTACAGGCTACACATTACTGGTTATATATATATATATACGCCTTTAGCAAGGTCACTTAAGGTCAATTGTCACAGCTAAGATATGCATGGTAATTAGTGAACATATTTACTAATAATTAGTCTGTTCAGTAATTAGACCACCCCTGTGTTTAAAAGATTCTACATTAAAGTTATATAAAACATATATTTCTATTGTAAAACGTATTGATTTAATGTTATGCGAAGTACTTTGGTGGTTGGCTGGTGCAGAGGATAGCTCTCTCGCCTTTTACCAAGACAGCCAGGGTCTGATTTCCCAATTGAACATGAAAACATTTAGGTTTCCTCTGAGTACTCCAGTTTCCTGCCACATCAAGACCCATAAATGTTGTTCAATAAACAAAAGTTTAGATTTACTAGTCCATCTGGGCTTATATTCATAATACAAGAAAGTAAAAATCTCAACAAAATATATGAGGTTTGAGGTTTGAAAAAAGTAGGACTTTGTGCTGAGTGTTAAAGTTGTGATAAGATGGTGTTGGTTAAGTATAGTACTACTTTACTCTAAGTGTTTGCTGTCATGTGAAATTTACAGATTATTAAGGATCCTTGTTCCACTGCAGGCAAAACACTAGAGAGTTCCACTGTAGTTTTTAAACATACCATAATGTCCCCTTAATTTTGATTTTGGATATAACTGTAGTGGGACAGGGCCCGGGTCATACCGCAGCTGTGTAAGTTATAAAGCCTTCGTATAATGTAATCAGAGATTCAGGGTTCAAATACCGGTCTGACCCTGGGTAAAAGTTACATTTTTAATTTTAGAACACTGCTGTGGATTTTTTTTTAATTTATCTATATTTTATTTTTGTTAAATTTCTGCAAGGTTATAAACAAGAAATCCCAGAGGGATCTTGGCGCCCACCTTTGTACCATCTTCATTAGTTCTTTGTCAGTTTGATCTTTTCTCTTCTTTCCTCTAATCTGTTTGATTGAGTCATGTTAACAGTAAATGCACCTTGAGGTAACTTTTGATCTAAACTTAATACTGATGTGTATGAAAGCCAACCTTCAAAGTGAGAGTGTCATTTCACATATTTACTAGTACAGTACTTAATGTGAACGAAACAGAATCGATCATTGCAATATGAGAAAGATCTGTTTAGTTCTTCTTTTAATCCATTTTGTTTTTATGATCAGTCTCAAAATATAACATGCACAACGATCCGGGAGCAAGGGGAACTTACATTTAAAATTTGAGAAAGATCCCTCCCGTACTTCCCAAGAATTAGCGATAACAAACTTCCACTATCAAAATCCAAGATGGCTGCCTGTCGGCCATATTGTTTATCCGATCAGTCTCTAAAATTGCCCTGCACAGCTAGGACCAAGGGGAACCTACATATAAAATTTGAGAAAGATCCCTCTAGTTCTTCTGGAGAAATAGCGGTAATTTAACAAACCTACACTATCAAAATCCAAGATGCCTGCCTGTCAGCCATGTTGTTTATCCGATCAGTCTCAAAAGTTGCCCTGCACAGCTATGGACCAATTAAGGGGAACCTCCATATAAAATTTGAGAAAGATCCCTCTGGTACTTCTTGAGAAATACCAATAACAAGAATGGTTTAAGGACGGATGACAGACAACGGGCGTCGGACAGTGGACGATGGACGGACTATGGACCACGGACCGGACGCAGGGTGATTTGATTAGCCCACCATCAGATGATGGTGGGCTAAAAAGTTACTGTTATATGATAGTGAAAACTTTTCCGATTCAAAGTTCATTTTTTTGGCAGTGGTACAGGGATCCTTAATGTTACAGTGCAAGTTGTATATAAACAGCCTGTACACACATAAACATCTTTTTAAGAGCTGAAATTAAGACCATTCATTGGTGTGCAACATGATCACCATATAAAAACGTGTACATAAATATAGAACGTCAAAACACATCAACACTATACTGTGGTGTGCACGAATGACATTATCATAATGTAATAATAGGCTATAACTACATAACAGTGAGGTTATAAATATTAATGAGTATATGTCATGAATATTAATAAGAATGACATGAATATTTATGAGTAGACAATGACAATGTCAAATATATGATGCACTTATGAGAATATTGAGCAGTCCACGATTAACAACAGAAGAAGGAGACGACTTGACAAAGGGCAAGCAGAAGGTACCAGACTGCAAATCTTTAAAACGGGTGATTTTTATCATCAAACTAGAAATTATACTTTTCGTTAAACTTAATATTCAGGTAATTTTTCATCACAATTTTTGTCAGATATGAACTATGTTGATATGAAGAAGCAAACATGAAATAATATACATTTCTTGCAAAATTACTCATTAAATTATGACAAACATAGCCCAGCTTGTGTTAGTGACCTTGACCTGTGACATTTTTTTCTTATGGAATGACCTTGAAAGAAATTTGGTATTCCATATCTCTGAACAAGAAAATGTTGATATATATATATATATATATATATATGAGCCATAGCACAATGGTGCTATGACACATTGCTTAAGTCTCTTATTAGAACGAATTTAGAATTGAAAAGCTTAAAAAATAATTTAGATATTACACAATATGACAAAAAATGAATGAAAAACCCCGATTCTCATTGGTTTTGATTCAATTTACAGTCTGGTGGGATAGGAATGGCACATTATGAAGAATTACTAAGGATAGGAAACCCAACGTTCGCAGCAGCAACAGTAACACCGTCATTACCGATGGCCGCTCGCTCTGATGCAGATAAACAAGGCAAATTAATCAAGTACAATACGGAATATCATGACACAATACTCAATATTATAATGCATGGTAAGTATATTGGACAGCAGGCAAGTCATCGATCTAATCAAATACACTAAAAGGTTATCATGTCTAAAAATAGCCAACAGACTCTGCAAGTTGAACAGCTGTCATGCAGATTGGCACGCATCTCCATTTCACAGTGAAACCTGTTTAACTGGACCCCTTTGTAAAGTGGACATTTGTGCAATGTGAGCCCCCTACCTACACCCAATTTTTCTGCATAAAGACATATACTTGGAGGTCTCTATAAAGAAACATTCTGTTGAAATTGAAACACAATTTCAAAGAAAGGTTTCATCTAGAAGTTCCATTAGGGATATCTTAGTCTCTGCTGAATAGACCATCAGTTGTAATGACAGCATCTAAGAAATTGAACGTAACAGCTGAGAGACATCAGTGAAATATTGTTGTAATGTTGTAAATGACACTTTCTATAATATCTAATGTTTTATAGTTCTATATGTATTACATTTTACAAACATGAACTAGATATTTTAATCATGCATGTAGCTTAATTAAATCAGTTTTTGGTTTTAGTTTAATGTGGGTACATTATATATTTTTTAAAACTACCATTTTCAACACAATAACATTAAGACCAAAGCAGAATAGTTTGATATGTAGTTTGATTTTAAATTAGTGCTACAGACAGCCTAAAAGTAGGTTCATGTTTCAAAATGATATAAAAACAATACTAAACGAAGTGGAAATATCCTCCCGAAAGTTCACTCCACCTAGTTTTTATCCACTATCTTTAAAGATGCAAAACCTACAGATAAGTTACACCCATTGGTGAAGTCTTCATACGTTACTGAAATACTATAAATATATGAATAAAGTGTAAATATTAACAAATAAGTGTAATGAAATCTTCCACCCCAACAGTTGCTTGCTCCATCTAGTGTTCTTATGAACAGTTTTGATAGGTGTAAATAAGTAACACTTGCTGGAGACTTGACAACGCCTAATTTGTCTGTTAAAGGCAGGTTTCACTGTTTATGTATAAGTTGTAAATAATAAAATACATGTTACAGCATGTTGGCACAATATCGACACAAGATATCGGTCACTACATGGACAGATTGTATAAAACATACTGTACGCTCATCAATCAAGATTTACCAAATTGACAGTCCAGAATCTTTCCGTCGAGGATACCTGTTTAAAGAATAATTTTATTACAAATTAATTTCTTTGCTGTTCAGAAGTTTGGTTATATGAAATAAAACAAAAGATATTCATGTCAGCCAACTGCAATTTCAAACTTGGAAGATCGACGCAAATGCAAGGTAATGAAATAAATGAAAATATTCATAAACTATAGGGACTGCTTCAAAATAATACTTTGGTGTAGTTCAAGGACAATATTTACCTGTTTCCGACAGGTAAAAGTTTACAATACACGCAGCACTATAGCTGCTCTGACAAATCAATGGGTGCATGATCGGGACGTTCTAGTATATTTGATTGATCAACAACATTACCAGAAAAAAAATTCTTCAAAATTTGAACTCTTGCGACATTCAAGCGATTGATACGTCATGATATTCCACATCTCTTTCCGTAATGACATATCACAGCAAAAGCTTAAACAATCAGAACAGAACATCATTCACAGAAACATTTAAAGATAAAATCATGTGACAGTCAAGTGATGGTGTCATGTGATGTAATAGATTACTCAAATTCTAAGGACTATACTGCACCAGCAAGTTAATTGAAGATAAAGTATGGCATAATTTCTTTCCTCATACCCCGGTGAACATTCTTAGCATTGAACATTTTCGAATTCAATAACACTATATACATGTGATGAAATAACACATAAGTAGACAAAGGTCTACTCCACTTCACCTATTTTGAAGTACTTCTGGTTGTATCCCTGCATACAAACCACATGGTTCTGGAATAGCTAACAACCAACAAAGACGGGATACTGAAGTAAATCTAATGCAATGAGATAATTCCCTGCAGATTTGCTTTCTCCAATTTTTTAATTCATACTCTAATTTAAGACGAGGTGTAATGGATGCTTAATTAAAAAGTAGTGGAAAAGGAGAAACCTAGAACTTACATTTAAATGTATCAAATCTACTTCTAAGACTGAGGACAGTGATCATGCACAAAGATAAGTTATTTGGTAATTTTGCTGATAATGATCGAAACAAGCTCCAGGGTTTCGTTGAGCTCAATTATCTCGACCACTTCTGAATTTGATGATCGTAATGCAACTTGTGTTCTGTGATGAAATAACACAGCAGTCATACGGGAGATGTTTTCACAACCATTCCAATTGGTGTTGGAGAAAAAAAATCAGACATAATTCAATGTATTAAGTGTGTTATAAATTAAATCCTTCCTACAGCAAAATGGTATATCTCTGGCAGTGTTGGGTTCCTTAATGGCCATAGAGCTGGGATACACACTGAATCCGAACTGCCAGAGATGTTCTATTGATCCAGACAAAGTATCCGCGTTCAGTCGTAAGCCAGAGCAGTTATGTCAGCGTGGCCAAATAAACTCGAATATGCCCGTCTCGTGTCTGCAGACAGGGCAAGGTAATAACTCTTGCTCATGGAAATGCAGGAAATTCAGCATTACACCAAAATGTTTTATGAAGAAAATTCAGTCCAGACTCTAAACTACAATAGAAATTTCTATGTTTCAATCTGCTAAACAAAGTAGATAATGAAAAGTAGAAAACAGATAAAAAAGAGACGACATACTGCCCAAAATGTGTTGATGTCTATATGAATTGTATCTGTGACCTGAAATACTGATGTTTCATACACAAATGGTGTATGATGGCACAGCTTGTCACTTCAGATTATCCACCCTCAGCAAAACCTATTGTTCATTCAGTTCTGACATGTGCATGCACACATTGCAATTTTTTTATTGTGTGTAAACACCCCATTTTATCTGACCAGGTTGTGTCAATAACATGCACTCAACCGCATTTAAGACCCTGAAAAGTATTTCAAAAAGGAGTGAATTCTTCAAGATTTTTCTATTTGTCATGCTTTTCCTTTGCAATAGATGTTTTTGACATTTTGAGAAGTCTCGTAAATCTTTCATCGTAGATGAATTTTGTCTTGATATTGATGAACATTACCCCTTCTATAACCTTATTAGGCACGAGACAATAAATCTATATTAAATATGGCAAAGCCCTCCCCCCCCCCTCCCGCCAAAAAAAGAGGCCTTATGGACCCCCTGTAATTCATTTTGCATCAACGACCTTCAAAGAAGGTACATGTAATCTATCTATTTAACCTAGAATAACTGTTACTTTAAACACAATGATTCTTTGTTTTAAGTTATCAATCTTTGGAAGACTTCAACTTACTGTAACAATCTGATCTTAAAAGATTACCAAAGTCATTCATCTGGATCCTACGCTTCAGTTCAGAGCTACAGGCCAAATGTAATAACATTGGTCTCCTGCTTATTAAGAAGAAATTTATTGAAGATGTTGGTACATACTTGACCTAGGTGACCTTCAAAGTAGGTCAAGATCATTTACTTGAAACAAAGTGGACAGCAATATCATGACTCTAGGCCTTTTGGTTCTCCAGAAGAAGTTGCTAACAAGTTTTGACATAGTTGACCCCTGTGACCTTAAATAAGGTCATTTTTATTTGCAAAGTTTGTTGGGCTCCATCCCCTGAAGCTACCTGCCTACCTGGTTATAGCAGGTAATAACTCTAGGCACTTCAGTTCTTTGGAGAAGTTGTTTAAATTTAACTTTGCAGAAGTTGTTTAAATTTAACTTTGGAGAAGTTGTTTAAATTTAACTTTGGAGAAGTTGTTTAAATTTAAAGGCAGAGATGACAAACGAATGAAGGACACCATGCCACAGCATAAGCTCATTTGCCCTTCGGGCACTGGTGAGCTAGAAATGAAACTGGGAACAAATCCTCCTGCACATCAGCATTGTGGATCAGTTTAAACAATCACTTGTCAAACAGTCCTAGAACAGCAAACACAACAGAGAATTGAAGTGTCCTTAACACTACAGAACCACGGAACCACAAATTACAAGGAGAAAAGTCAATACAACCTGACATCAGAGGCTCCTAGTGATGAATGACAAAAAAATGGCAATGCTCTTGCTAATTCCGTTCTTTGGAGACACTCCATTACTTCTATAAATAGTATAAGTGTATACCTAGGGCTTTAGACTCTGTATTTAGTATCCAGCTGACAGGCCATGTGTTACAATTTTATTTGGGGAAAACGTCTTTTTTCCCCTATTTCTGCATATTTTGGATCAATCCTTTTCTTCAGAGCGACAAGCAGAGAAATGCTGATTCAGGATTTATTTGCTCATTTCATTTGGCTGTCTGAAATAAACCCCCCAGTGTTGCCTTTATGTAAGGACTTGGTTAGGACTACGACAGACTATTAATGGTGTTCATTAAAATACTTTACTGGTGTTATCATAGAAAAATGTTTTTCAAATTGTAATTTTCAAAGGAAGGTGCAAATTTTTCTTTTGTTAGTTTAGCTCATGGAAGGAATTAAAGCATGATGTTTGAATGCACAATAACAGTTTGAGTTGAATCTTCAAGGTAGTTTTAAATAAGCTAAATGTGTTCAGTTGGATTTGAATTTGAGGCAATGCAGAAGTAGAGATGGCGGAAAACAAACATCTGAATAATAAAGGTGACTGTAAATTATCTAAGGAAAGAAACAGGAACCGAAACCATGCACAATGAAACTGCAGACTCCTAAACAAGTTTACTGTTTATAACAGACAGAAGGACAGACAGGGAGTACCAATGTTCAATGTATAACCAGCAATTCCAATGCATGGAGAGGCGTCACGATTCACCGCGATGCTCTTGTACCGCAATTTTTTATGTTCAATTCGATTCAAGATATATTTTTCCGGATTTTCCATGCGTCACGATCTGAATATTAGTGTAATGCCGCTTCAGCTGAAACGTCTGTGAGATATTCGATTTCATTGGCTGATCTCTAAACCCTCAACCAATCGGCTGCAAGGATGCAATTTTCACAAAGCATTCATAACAAAATGGTGAACTGCCCTAAGGAAATGGAAATTTGTGATGCTCCGGCAAGCTTCAAATCAAAAGTGTAGAAACACTGCGGGTTTCCGTGTATCAACGGCTTATAAACCTCATTTTGTTTATATTTTAAAATAAAGGTGTATCAAATCGAAATAATTAAATTGTGGTACAAATATCGAGATACGTATTGAATCATGGGTAAAATGTATCGTGACAGCTCTAAATGTAGGACAGACAGAGATGGTAATATGGGCTTGGGCCACTCATGAATAGCACCACAAATGGACAGACAGATACAAAGGGAAAATAATGACTTTCTGCAATCATCCTTATCTACAATACCATTGACTGAAAGATGGACAGATTGACAAACATACTGGCAGGAAGAGATAGGGTCAGTAAATAAACCACCAATATACCACATGAATGGACTGACAGATGGACATATGCACAAAATGAAATATCACAATGACTGAATGAGTCATAAATGATATGTAAAATTTCGGACATAATATGATCAGAGGACAAGAATGTTTTACATATATACAGAATACTAATTTATTGGGCAGATCCATCCAAATATATTCTCATAAAGCAACAATTTTGTTTGGAAAAGTTGACAGGGTGGACACATGATAGGAAGGTAGAGCAGAATCAGAGCACTTAAAGCACATGTTTCTAATCTTCATTGATTCTAGCACAGAAAATGTACATTATACCATCTGTGCTAACAGCTGCCTAACAACCTACAACCACAGGCCTACCATGGATTAATGGAACAACACGTGTAAGCCATGCTTATTTTAGAGTGACAGCCNGTGCTAACAGCTGCCTAACAACCTACAACCACAGGCCTACCATGGATTAATGGAACAACACGTGTAAGCCGTGCTTATTTTAGAGTGACAGCCAAATCTTTTATCTGGCTTAATGCAGTTTTTCCTATATATATATATGTTTGTGTTTAAAAAAAATACACCAGTGAATTTTAAAACCTTGGATAAGATATTGGAATTATCTCATGCAAATTTAAAGTGCCCCGAAAATTAAAGAGTTTGGTTTGTCGTAAAATTTCATTAACGTCAGCTTTATACTGCCCCGGCTGTCCATGAGGAACAGAAATCAATTGATAGGCTCATCAGTGTCAAATCCCATGTTGAATATACCGTCAGACCTGAAGATGTTCATGCACATACATAAAAACCTTAAACCATCTTAATGTCTACAGAATTAGAAACTCTAGTGTCTATGGCATCCAAAAATAGCCTGATTGCAGTGTCACAACATGGCTGTATTATAAGATAGGCTTGGTTGCAATCAATACTATTGAAAGCTGACATAGCAGACTCTCATCCTACAGCGTAAAATAAAGAATATGAACACAGCATTAGACTTATAAGGCGATGCTAAGCCACACTTGTCAGCCGCACTGTCAGACACGGAAGCACACAAGAACAGAAAGCTATTCCCTGTGACAATGGCCAAATCCTTCGCTGTATAGATGTTATTTTATTTCACTGAATAGAAGCATTGCCAGTATTCAGTGTTTTGGTCAAATCTTATCGGATATGTTAAAATCCTTGCTGATACACGGTTTAGTGGACTGGACATGAGATAGCTACACATTAGAGGACAGACAGCGCTGTGTTATATAGGATTATTATTGCTGGGTTAGGGCTGTGCTTCAATCCAAATGCGGCCTGATGCGGTCATTTGTAATTGTAGTGGTCTCCTGCATGTCAACTCCAGGTGACACATTTGACTTCAATAACTTCAGGAAAACTATTAGCATGACGAAACACCATTGCTTTAAGCTGCTCTTAACTTTAACATCTAAAGGACAATCCTTGGCCACTGGAGTTCAAGCTTTTTTCTTGTGACCTTCAAAGAACATGAATTTCATAAAAATCCATTTTCTTGACATTTCTATGATACATTATTAATATGCAATGACTACTTTTGAAAACAGTAGGGATTACATACAAATAATGGTTGGTACATCAATACATATTGGTAGTTGCTTGGAATAGTGGAATTTTGTGAAGTCTTTCACCAAGACAGCAAAGGTTTGGAGTCCTCAATCGGACGTCAAAAGGCATAGGATCACCTGCCCGGATATTTTCTATTAGTTAAGCTGGTGTCCAACACAGCTCAAGACCTCTAATCGTTCTATTATCTTTTACATATATCATAGCTGTCCAACTTCCCTCATCAGGAGAGAGACTCCCTCATTTTGCCCAAATTTACCAATCTCCTTCGAAACTCCCTCATTCAAGTCCAAACTCACACAAATTCAAAATCTGCATCCTGTGGTCAAATGATCTCCTAGTTAGTGCAGGGTGGGTGTAATAATCATAACAGGTGTGTCTGAATCAAATCAATGCTTTTTGGAGTTATTTTGATACATAAAAAGGGACAGATAAATTGATCAAAGCAGTTTCAGTCGCGTTTCATGCACTTTCTCCCTCGCTGGAAATGTGGAAGGAAAGGGAGATCTGCCTCATTAGAGGTTTCAGAGCTAAGTAATCGACACCTATGGTATACTCTGATGGTCAATCAGTCACCTGTAGTTGTCAGAGTAATCAGACCACCAGGATGCCTCATCCAAGATGAGATGTTTCGGTGTGTTGACATTGTAAAATGGCCCCATATCTAACTAGAAGATCCATTATCTGTGAACACATTATGAAAATTTCAAAAAGACTTTTTAAAATTACTTGTAAGATATATATCTACATTTACTAGCTGAACCTCCAAGATTTTTACAAAAAAACCCAAAGCAATTATCTACAGAATAAAACTGTTCATTTATATATGTACATATATGTACAAAAGGTGGAAATGTTATTGAAAAGAATATTTTATTCAGAGAAGCCATCATATCACTACTTACCGGTAAACTATTATGCAATACAGGTTAATCAGGGCACAGAGAAAAGAACTGAGTAGTTCCTACCTATGCCTCAGGTCCATGTCACATGACATTGGAACATGAATACCACCACAGGCAACCATTTCAAATTAATTACATGCTCCTGTAGTGTTTGATTTCAAAGCCTCTTACAGCTTATTTTAACGTTCATATTTTTTTTCTTTTCTAATGACAATAGGTATGACTAATGATGTAAGAACTGCCCCGTTAAGCAATTAGTTCAAGGTCTTAAACCAGATGAGTATAACCTTTGACCTTGAATATTATGGATGTTTTTAGATTCAGAGTTTCAGACTCTGAAACTGTTGCTTATCTCTGAGGCTATAGCAATTTTTTACAAATCAACTTGTGTTTCTTTTTGATGATATCTGGAAATTTTATATTGCCAAACAGACAGTCTCAAGAGGGAGGAGGCTGCACAAAGTTCATATACTGTTGTATCGCAATGGGTCGTAAAATTACAGGTGTATTGGATCACCAAGATGTTGCCGCAATATCATGGCCAGCAGATATTGATTTTATCAAGGCAGTGAGTTGCCCAGGGTATCACCATGAAAATCAAAGTACAGTTCCCGTAAAAGAGATCCTTGTCGTATTGGTGATGAGATTTTCAGGGCAAAACTAACCTACAGACTATATGCTGCCAATCAACTTTGTACATCTTCCTCAGCACAACATAGAGACTTCATTTGAGAAATATGATGCATCATAGAAAGTCTTATACAAGATAGAAGACTGTCTCTATAGTCTTATATATATAATAAAACCTTAAACTGACTTGCATCTGAAGTTTAAAAATAAAATTATATATTTTTCCAGCTGACTCCATTGGAATATTGTTTCATTAGCCTAATGAACCACTAACTAGAATTGGTCATGAGACCCTGTTTATATTTGAAACAGAACAAACACAATTCCTGATTCTAATGTAATTAAATCTGTTAAAACTTTTTTTTTTTTTTTTCAAACATTGTGAAAATTAATTAAATAGAACTAATAATTTGTCACCAACCCAAATGACATTTGCACCCTTAAAGGTCAAAGTTGAAACTATGTCAATTTTGCATTCTTCAAGACTGTGAATTGGATTTGCTTCGACAGAAATTGCATAAACTTCTGAAAGATCACACACAACCTGTGAGGTGACAGTTATATATATGTATAAATCTCCCTATGTTAAACATGTAGACTAAGGTATATTTAATTTCTAGTTGAAAGTATTCAAAAGAAAATATTGTACTTCAGTCAAATATTTTAAATAAACAGATTGCTTTCTCAAAACTCAATCTTGTTCATGACATCATATTTTGAAAAACAGCTCAGTTATTAATTTTAAACTGCATATAGTTCACCAAATTGTCACTAATTTCCAAATTTTTAATACAAATATAACACTGGAACAATCGAATCATGTCCCAAGAAACCGATCAGGACATGGCACACAACCATCACAGGTTCGGTTGTCAAAATTCTAGATTTTTTCGTGTTTTTATTCTGGCTAAAGAAACAACGATAGGACATTTCACACTGAGGAGGTCATCCAAAAAATAACTAAAACCAGGCAACATGTAAACAACAACAAATTAGACAATGCAACACTGAAACTGGTGTTTGTGCTTTACAAATACAGGGATTCTCGCTAACATGACCCAAACTCACTCTTCAGGTAGGTTGCCCGCATCATCCTCTTGACCCGGGACGTCGATGTGGATGAAGGCTGAACGTCGGACTACTTCCTCCATAGATTCGTGGGCAAGGAAGCCCTTCCACATTGTGTCTGTAACAACCAAGACCATTGGTCAAGCAAGTAAGGTCACATGTCATTTGTAACAAAATTGTTAAAACCATGGCTATTTGTCAATCAGGTAAGTTCATAATTTATAACATAAAACTGACCAAAATTTAAAGATGAAGTATAAAAATTGTAACATTACCCAGAGAAAACATTGATCAGGATTTTTTCAAATCATAATCCTGAAAGTTATCATTTTAACGCCTTGTTAAATTGCTACATTTATTCAGTGACACATGAGAACATTTATTTAATGCTTTGAAACTTTGACAAGCTTCAAATAATTCCAATATAAAGTGCTGAAAAGGGTTCTACACATTTTAGGATATTTACACTTCTTTCTTTTAGATGAAGATATGTTCAACAGATGGTGGTAGATAAAGCATTTAGCACTGAGATGATGTGGGGCCTTGGGTTGATATCAAGGGGAGAGAATCAAAGTAAATAAAGTGACGTATGTAGCACTGGGATGTCAAGTTGAGTGGGGGTCAATATCAGATGGGATAATCAATGTAAATTGGGTTGGTGAAAACATAGATGAAGTACAGTGGAGACTAGGGTCTGTATGATGGGGATATATTAAGTTTGAATGGTTGTAGATAGTACAGATATTACATTTGGCCTGGGGTCATAATCAGGGGGAGATAACCAATAGGATGGTTGTATATAGCACAGAAATTAATTAAGTAGTGCCTGGTGTCAACAATGGGGTCAGGGTTTAGATAATCACTATAAACGGGGTGGTGCAGCTATATAGCACAGCACGTACAGAGGTAAATGGGGGCTTTGGGTCGACATCAGGGGAGATAATCACGGGCGAAAGTGTAGAAGATTGATATACTTACGGTTGCATCCCAAGTCATGCACTGTGAGGACCACAAAGTGGCTTTGCTTCAGATTTCCCTGAAAATACAACAAAACTTAATGCTTTAAAATTGGTGCATGCACTAATTAAAGCATAATACATACAATACATACAATTTTGTAACACATGTATTACACATGACCAATACATTATATATAACTTTGTTCATGGTTTAAAATAGATATTGCAATATTGCAAAACATATATATATATATATATGGTTGCAAAATAATCTCATTTTTTCAAATTGAATATTGAAAACACCTAAGAAAACTGAATAGCCTAACAATTTTATGCTGAAAAATGTTGGTTAGTTTTGATTATTTGCCTTTTCACCCTTAGTACTTAACTCATTCACCCCTGAAGACACATTTGAGCTCTTCCAATTCAAAGATTGGAATAGTTCATTATGAAATTTCAGGGGTGAATGAGTTAACGAGTAAATTGAAACCATTTCAGAGCAGGCTTTAATACACAGCTTGCTGTATACTTCCCCCATGAAGGTTGGACACCTCACATTGCTATCCTGCTCTGTAGCACTGTAGGAGAACTATAAGTGGCTGCAGTACACTTTGCATGGTACTGGTTACAAGTTTCAAGTTGCATCAGTCCACAACTTTCAATAGTACTATAAAGTGTATTGAAAAAAGGGGCATTGTCCACATTTAATAGGGTATCACAGGGCAATACTCATTGTTGTTGAAGCATAGGATGAAGTGGATTGATTTCTGATACCAAAGTGTTTAAGTGGTGCTGCCATGCAGAATGTAATGCTTTATTAATCAATCATCTTGACCTTTGAACATAAAAAGCAATTCAAAACAAGTACTTTTAATAAGGAATCATAGAATTTATTTTGCAGTTATAGGCCAACAGGAACCAGAGTTATTGCACAGAAACAAATTTTCTATTAAGAATACCAGTGAGTCTCAACCCTTGACCTTTGGTCCTAAAAAGCAAATGCAAGCAATTTAGGAAACGAAGCAATTATGAGGTTTGAATGTTATTCCCCTCAGGGATGCCCTTTCACTGGTAGAATTTCTATACACCCTCGGGCACCTACAAATTTTCCTCAATTTTCTCCTAATTCTAAAATGAGATTTTTGGTAAAACTGATGTGGACATTGTGAAAGATAACTCTGATAGCTCTTTACTTCTGTGAGTGAGGTAATGCCAGTTTCTGACAGCCGTTGGCAGTTCATATTCTTCAGTCGATTATAATGACAATTCAATAGTCTATTGTCACATTGATATTGATACCACCTCTAAAGTGACCTTACAAGTGTACCTGTGCTTGTGACAGCATTATGCTTAAGGATCCCCGTCCCAGCCAGAGCAAAACACTAAAGATTTCCACTGTTGTTTTTCAGTGTTAGAGTCACCTGCCCCTGATTCCATTTCGACAATGTTGTAATCTTCCCTTGAATAGATTTCGTTTGGATAACGTTTCGACTATAGAGTTGTGACCCTGGCATTGAAAATCTCCAATCGCGAAAGTGTGGGCAATAAATGATGTCGTAATGATGTAAACAACGTCGTGGCAGTGATGGCCGACATGCAAGCCCGACGTAAAATCATCCGTTTTACATGTAAACTAAACGCATTAACAGACAATAATAACAACAACGATGTCCAATATCAACTGCTAGACCATGACTATGCGACCAAACAAATTGACACTCGTTCACACATTGAAGAGACGCTGGCTACTGAGGCCCCTACTAAGCTTACTGGCAATTTTACTGATGAGCCGACACTGACGTCGATGAGGATCCCCTCTAGTACTAGTGATCACATATACGTCAATAACTTTTTAACCTGGTCGCAGGGTAGACGAATGGGTGAACTTGCGATGTTATCTGAATACCTGGACCAAGAAAGATTGTAAGGAATGCGGCTGTACTAGGCTACGGTTGTGCAATACCCAACAGCAAAGACATTTTGGCCTGGGAAGTATTTTATACATTGCAATAGTCAGGATTATATTCTATATTTGTTATTACATGTATATACCCAATAGGCCCATATTTCAAGTTCATTTTTTATATTACATACAACAGTGTTATTTTTACAATGTGATATTTGTATACCACAATATAGTGTATGTTATTTGTACATAATGTGAAAGTTTAGTATTGTTTTGTTCAGAATGTAAAAGTTTATCATTGTTGTATATAGTGTGGTTTTTTATATCACAACATGGTATGTTATTTGCCTATTATGTAGAAATTTATTATTTTTGTGTAAAGTATGTGAAACTTTGTTATTGTTGTTCATTGTGACATTTTTGCTATGACACAGTAAAGCACATTGTTTGTTATAATGTTATTCATACACAATGTGCAATTTTGTTTTATATTGCATGGTTATTACATTTGAAGTAATTTTAATGGTTGGTAATGCGGCTAATGCCTACTGTATTATATTCGTATATAAAAAGTGCTATATTGTATGTTGTAAATTGTATATATGACTTTTTGGGATTTAGAATTATTATTGGTACAAATGTAAGAGTTGTCTCTCTTTTTTGTTAACTTTTTTTTGTATCTTCATATTTTTTTTTGTATAGCTAAGTAAGTCCGCAAGATATTCATTTTTTGTCACCTATATTTTCTTTTCGTTTTCTTAACGTGTTCACTGTTGCATTGGCACTCGGAATTTTATTGATTCATGTAACGGGCATTTTTGTTTGTTTTAGTATTATTGTTAGAAAATTACTCAGTTTTTTGTGTTTTGTTCATCAATATTTACATTGTTATTATTTTTTTATGTGTTTTATTTCTAATAAACCATTGTTGCATCAAGTAAAATGTTTCTTGTTTCATTTTGTTCCACTGAAAAAAAAAACTGTTTTTTTTCGAAATTTCATAATTTCCCAAAAAATCTTAATAAACTACCGCAAGGTATGGGTTATTGTTCAGAAATGATTTGGTTATGCAATAGCGATGCGGTAGAAAAAAAAGACAATGCCTCATTACATTTTTAGGCAGAGGGATGGGGATCCTTAATACATCTATATATATATATGCTATGTACCTGTTATTTGTGAGTATGCTACAGATATGCCTAAAATAGCATTTTCTTTCTTAGAGTCAATTGTATACATGTTAAGGTTTTAGAATCTTCAATTGGTGCTAACAAAAGTACTTTGGTAATTACCTTAATCTTAAACTTGTTTATACAAATATACATCTCTGCTAAAAATTAAACTGAGTCATATATGTATATATGGGAAAGTTGTGTCAAAACAATGCCAACAAATTACCTTAGCTTGTCACATTATCAGCGACCTTATCACGATGAATGGCGCCCTTGCCCGAGTCTGAGGTGTGTAGTAGACCCCAGGACAATTAATAGGGAATATATACACACCTGTACTACAAGACAGATCACACATATCTACCGTTAACCCAAATAAACACATTTTATCTGTTATTCATGATTTACCTGATACTAACAAAACAAGTGTGTGTTGACAAAGAATGCTTTGTTTATACTACATTTTGTAGCTGTGATATTGGTCACCTTTCCGGAAAGAGGTCAACACTAAGAAACAAAATATGAGTACATTTTATTAATGTCAAAATTGGACTTGTTGGTTTTATTAAATGGAGGATATATTTGAATGATACAGAAGAATTGGTTTATATTTTTCCAAATTGGTTCCTAATATTCTGTATCATATGGTAGCAATTCTTGTTTTAATCTGTGCCAAATAATTGAACTCAAAAGTAATAATTCTGAGTATAGTATACAGGACTGTGTTGACACAGCTACCTACATTAAATAGCCACTGGTATATTCTGAATTAATCATCATGGTATCTTATCCTGATTTGGAAGAGTTCAATCTATACCACCCTAATGGCATGTTGATATACATCTCCATCTCATAGAAATAACTTGTACTCACATATTAACCATGATCAAGTTTACATTTTCAGGCTGACATGGGAATTGCATATGGAACAAAAGATCCAGAGTGCCTGTATCGCTCACCTGGATATTTGAGCAATCATAGGAAAATATTTACAATAGAAGTACTTTTTCAAATATTTCTGTATCTTGAGCCTCCTTGGCTAAATGAAACTTTATATACTACTCTATCCCAGCATGCAACTGGTCAAATATCATCACCCAGGGCATCCTGGTATTGTGGAAGAAGTTGTTTAAAGATATTTACATGAAAGTAGGTCAAGGTAATTTATTTGGAGAAAATTCATATCACTCTGTCCCAGGCTAAAAAACAGATACTAATAGATTAGTTACAGATGAGCATATTTGCTCAAAACTTACCAGTGGTATATATCCAGACCTATAAAAAAGTACCAGGTATCCCACCTTACTCTGAAGTAACAGGTGGTATTCCAACTTACTCCAAAACTACAGGTATCTCACCTTACTCTGAAGTAACAGGTGGTATTCTAACTTACTCCAAAACTACAGGTATCTCACCTTACTCTGAAGTAACAGGTGGTATTCTAACTTACTCCAAAACTACAGGTATCTCACCTTACTCTGAAGTAACAGGGGGTGTTCCAACTTACTCCAAAACTACAGGTATCTCACCTTACTCTGAAGTAACAGGCCTAGGTGGTATTCCAACTTACTCCAAAACTACAGGTATCCCTCCTTACTCTGAAGTAACAGGTGGTGTTCCAACTTACTCCAAGACTACAGGTATCTCACCTTACTCTGAAGTAACAGGTGGTATTCTAACTTACTCCAAAACTACAGGTATCTCTCCTTGCTCTGAAGTAACAGGTGGTATTCCAACTTACCCCAAAACTACAGGTATCCCACCTTACTCTGAAGTAACAGGTTGTATTCCAACTTACTCCAAAACTACAGGTATCCCTCCTTACTCTGAAGTAACAGGTGGTGTTCCAACTTACTCCAAAACTACAGGTATCCCTCCTTACTCTGAAGTAACAGGTGGTGTTCCAACTTACTCCAAAACTACAGGTATCCCACCTTACTCTGAAGTAACAGGTTGTATTCCAACTTACTCCAAAACTACAGGTATCCCAAGATACTTA